GGGGGGGGGATGTGAGTTTTACTTGCATTTTTTTGATCGGTGAATCATCATGTCACGCCCACCTATAAACTCCCTTCAAATCCACGTGGTATTAAAATCCATATTCCACTAATTAGAACTAATGATTCCAACTTCATACTTTTATTAGTTTTAACGCATGCCATCTTGTGACTAGATGGAGGAAATGTTAGCGGCGAGTTACAAAGATACGCTAATTAAAGTCAAATCAGCAACTATATTAGGTAGTACATAAGCTGGAATAAAATCATGGCTTTTAAAAGAGCTTAAAACAACTAAACATGGGCAATCCAGAACAACCATTCATGAGGACAGAAGCAACAAAACTGAAATTTCCAATAATAGTACGCATGACTGCATGACTGAATGGAGAACTAACAATGATTTGACATAATAGAAGTGACAAAGGAATTAGATACTCCTCAGTCGATAAATTTCTTAATGCCTGTTTTTTTAGTTTATAAGAGGAGATGCTCTCTCTCTCTCGCTTGGCCTTGAAATCAATTGATACCGATAACAAATCATTAAATTAAAATAACAGCCTACTTATAAATAGTAGTAGAACATTTTATATAATAGAAGGGTTTGGGAGAAGTTTAAAATAAAAGATGCTGAAGATTTTCTAAGTTTATTTGTTAAGTAAATTAATTAATTTTATAAAATAGTCATCGTTTGAGTCTAGGATTTACACGTATGTGTTTCTTCTTTTATTCGGAAACTCCAAATCTAATATCCGATTGTGGGTATAGTGTTGGAGGCATTCTCCTGAAAAGGAAAAAAGGCTTTGAAAATTCCTAAATTTACGCATACTAACCTTAAATCTCAACTATACTCAAACTAATAAGCTGTTTTCAATGGTAATTCAAGAGAGACTCTAATGTATAAGTTGAGAGCATTCGGTTCGAAGATCAGAATTAAGCAGTGTCTGATGAAATCGCATATCGATCGCAAATTTGCTACTCTAAATTTCATTATCGTCTCTAATTTCATAACTTATAACATTTAAGATTAATGTTGTTTAAGAAGTTTCTGGTTATCAGACTAGTTTACGGTTTTTGGCCAACTTTTATTACATATTTATGCAAAAAAGACAAATGAACTTACGACGGGTAATTGCCATTTTCTGTTGGAAAATGGGGAGTTTGAAAATGTGAATAGAAAGCATCAGAAAATCTCGGCTGAACCGGTTGGGGTATTTCGAAGGATTCAGGGTACCAAGTAGGGAATGATTCTTGAGGCATTTCACCTAAAGGGAAAGGTGCTCTATTCAATTTTTTTTTTGGAATTTAACCATGGATAGAGAACTACGACATCCACCTATTTAAAGTCTCTAACAAAGCCACTTTAGTTTTTTGTTTCTTCACCCCCTTCCTCCTAAAATATCCCAAACCCGTTTAATGCTGTGCTATTAACAATTGACCTAGGCAGAGAATGGGTAATGCAGGAAGCAGTATAAGTAAGTATTAATTGAAAAACACCTTAGGTAACAAGAGAATAAAGATTAAACAAGGCAGGAATTATAAGATAGTACAAGGGCAAATGGAAGCAACAATATTCCCAAAATGAGAAGCCACTGCGCATTCCCATGGATAAGTTCTTCAGCACCCATGAGAATAGACTAAGACATCTGAAAACGCAATCTGGTCTAATACAGAAAGCCATAGAATTGAAGAAAGCATTACAAATCGATGACAAACCAAAAAGCCTCCCTCTACTCATGAACCCATTAGCAGACACTGATGAAGTGTGTTGCACCAAACTGCTTGACTACTTCAGGAAATCAAACACCCTCAAGAACAAATGCGCTCACTGGCCCTTGAGACAATCAATGTCAACTATCCAGGAGACCAATGGCTCCAAGTCTTCACTGATGGGTCATACATAGAAAACCAAGCAAACGTTGGTACAAGTGTCTACTCTGAACTCTTTTCTTTCTACCAGCGGGACATAATAGATCCGCTTTTGAAGGAGAAATAGACAGTGGGACACAATAGATCCGCTTTCGAAGGAGAAATAGAAGCCACGGGACATAAGAATCGCTTTTGAAGGAGAAATAGAGGCCATTAGGATCGCACGGACATAATAGATCCGCTTTTGAAGGAGAAATAGAGGCCAGCAGGAGAGCACATCGCTTTCGAAGGAGAAATAGAGGCCATTAGGATAGCACTATGCCAATTATGTTGCCTGGATACGAAATTCACCAAAGTGCTGATACTTTTGGACCCACAGTCAGCAATATACTTTATTGAAAGCAGAGAGCCACCCAAAACAGATGAAATATACGAGCGTAAACAACTCTATCAGCTGATGAGAGAAAAAAACAAAACAGTGGTCCTACAATGGATTCCTGGTCACTGTGGCATTAAAGGCAATGAGCTTGCTGACGCATTTACTAAGAAGGAGACAACGATTTTGCAAGGCATAGACCGGCCGATGTCTTTCCACACAATGAAGGTCTTAATCAGGAGAGAATTCCAGACCTCAAGGTGCAGCGAACTTAAAGCTCGAACAAAGGAGAAACAGTGGACAGTGGCACTCTCCGACATAGCCGACTGGCCAAGAATCGAAGCCGTTGCTGAGTTTATACTACGTACCGGACACGATTGCCTGGCAAAACACCTTCACAGATTAGAAGTATACACTCAACCAACATGCCCCTATGTAACCTACAGGAGGAAATGAAGAAGACCCACCTGATTCGATGTCTAGCCTTAAAGACAACGACGGAAACCCAGAGATACTGGAAAGCAAGAAGACAGCTAATGAAAGACTATTAATTAACTGCTATATATGTACCCCCCCCCCACCCATGGGGGAAGCTGAAGTCAAAGTTTAAGGGCTAATGATAAATATCATAAAGCTTGCCATTTGAAAAAAATTACCACCTTTGTATATAACAGTATGAAATTGCTGTTGATTATTTCTTTGGATCTAACTCGCTATTGGCCAATACTGCTCTCTAGCAATATTGGCAAAGCTACAAGCATCCAGGTTGGAAACTTGCAGAAACGTGGACCCACGATTGGGATAAAATTCTCTGCCAAAATCTCCTTTGTCACAAAACGGATAGCAATGGCTATATATATATATATATATATATATATATATATATATATTGTTCCTTGATATCCAATCAAAATCCCTGTCCTGGTAAGAGTTTGTATTACACGAGAATGTCAATGTCAATTAAGGACAGAAGATTAAGTGCATGATTACCGACAGATATTTCTTACCGAATGATAGATTGTGAGATTTGAAGTTATGTTGTGGTCCAAACGCGGCTTGAAAGTCCTGGTTAATGTTTAGCCTGTCTTGATAATTATTTAATGGGATACTGAGTTTTTGAGGCACAAGTGATTTATCGGATACGTTCGACTGTCGGTGCTCATTTGGATCATTTGAATGCTTCTTTAATGAACGGCGTTTCCGGGTTTGAATGGAATCCTTTCGCATTGTCAAAGGCCGTTGCCGCTAATTATAATAAATACATGTTTATGATATTCGCATTTATGGTAATTATGCTCGAACTTTTCTTTTAGAAAGTTGTTAGAAAGGACTGTTATCTCAATAAAAACACCTTTCATATCAGAAGTAAGATAGCGAAAATAGCACAACAAATGCATCCACTAATTTAATCATTCAATTGGTTTTAAGCATTCAGAATATATACCTTTCCGAGATCCAGCGATTCTGATCAAATAGGGTTTCTCTTTGCTGCGTCTAACTTGCACCTCTCATTTCTGACATATAATCAATTAAATTGATATAAAACAAATGATAGGAAACTAACAATGGAATACTCCCGTGACGCGATGACAACGAAAGCAGTTTACAAAGTACCTCTAACCTCATTAAGATACACAGATATGTTGAACGGTGCTTCTTTTTATCTACAATGCTTCATTAATCTATTTTTTCATTTATTTTAAGATGTTACTGGAATTTTACCCCCCCCCCCCAATATCTAGAATTTAAATTATCCTCGTGATTGGCCAACACCGGATTTTCACAGAGCCAAACTGATTAAACAGCCATAACCAGTGGGTGGTCCGATTTCAGTCCCCGTGAAATCATCCATTCTCCCAAAACCAGAGAAGATGGACCACCTCTCTCTCTGTCTCTTTTTTTTGGACCGCCATATGTGACCACTGGAGGGGGGAGGAATCGATTAACTTAACACACTTTTACTTTGTGGAGTGGTTTCAGGCCAATTCATCAGTTCCAAGAGGTTTTCGCGAAACGGCATAAATAAGTAAATGCATGAAGCCAATAGCGCAGGAGAATAAAGTAATTAGACTTTTGTGATTGTTTTAGAAAAGGAGACGTCAGAGATGACAGGAAATCAACTTTGAATGCTTCGGTCGCGAAGATTGAGAGCTCTTCGGGACTTTATGATTGATGTCTCTACGACCTCACTAATTGCTAACCCATTCATGCCCTATTTTTGCTTAATTTTGAAAAGGATTGAATGACTGTCGCACGTCTGTACGTCTCACTATTAAGTGCATCTCAAATAACCCTCATTACTTGTTTTCGATGTCGAAAAAAAATCAATCATGTCAAACTATACAATTTTTGGAGACAGTGCTCCAAACTGCAGTGAATCTTCACCCAGGGGATATAATGATATTTAGTCTACAGCATATGTGCTGAATGAATGGAATAACTGTTGAATTTTCATTCTTACGATGGGAGATTGCTAACACTTCCCATTCCTTTGTTATAGAAAACAAGAACAACCAAGGTTAAATTAAATTCATCTATTTTTTCCGGTGTGTTATCCCCACCGCATTCAAACAGGTCAGGAAAGAGGAAATGCTCGATTCGCCCATTTAATAGAAACAAGGCGAATAGGCTACCAAAAAGATAAATTGAGAATCCACATCATGTTATCTTGAAACCAACTATAACAGCTGAACGATAACAAGTTATTAATGTAGCACGTAGTTCACATACGCGATGACAGTAGGAAATTATCAAACTTTCCATTTATCTACCCCATTATCGGTCCTTATGATCTTAACTTTGCCCGGCAACTTCAACTACTTTAAACCACATCGAGCAAACACTAATAAAAATTAGCTCTAATTTGAATATTGTGGTCTAATGCCAAGTCACAGTTGATAATGTGTTGAAATTTGGAATTGTTGTTTGGAATTGGAATTTTTATTATTTTTTTCAATCACTTTTGCCCGAGTTCAGATTCTCCTCCTTCCAGAATCAATTATAATTGCAGTTACAACCACTTAACTTCCCACGCACATTTCAAGCAAATACGTACCCCGTGCATTTTACGATAGAGTCCACAAGCATTGCATACAATATCGCCTTCTGGAGCTCTACGCCAAAGCGACGTTTTCGACGTCTGACAATTGCTGCAAATGGTCCCATTTTTCACATTGAAGTGCTAAAACCAACACAAATGTACATGTATAATTTATTTAAATTGTGGGAAAAAATAATCAATTGTCAACACATAGGCCTACTAACACTTAGCCCAGGCAACAAATCAATCGGGCCAAAATTAAGGTTAATATAGAGGAGGGACCATCAATTGAATTCAGCAAAACAAATCGAACTAAGTCGGGGGGGGGGGGGGGGGGGGGGNGAGGGGGGGGGGGGGGGGGGGGAGGGGTTAGATACTAGCTTGACATACTGGTGGGAGACGGTCGATTTTTTTTTTGAATTGCCTGGGCATCGAAGCGGGGAGACCGTTTTGAGCAGTGGTATGTCTCGAACACATTTGCTTCGAACAGTCAATACAGAGTGGATTCCCACCTTTATCGTAAGCCCAATATCTTGAATTGGCACGTCCACAATTGACACACTCTGGACAGTGAGTATAGTGAGGAGGGATCTGAGTTGATTCTAGAAATAAAAATGGAATATCGATACAACAAAAGTTATAATAGATATCAGCAATTATTGAGCGTTAGTTTGGTCGGCAATGGATTAGGACTCTTGAGTTAAACGTACCTATTGCCATTTTTACATTAAGAGTTTCAACAATGAATTTGTCAGATATGCCAAGGATATTTTGAACCCTATTTTAAGGTAAGAGGAAAGTAAGTTACTTGCACATTTTGTAAGAGGTCAACCCTGATTTAAAAATGATATCCTAAAGAATAAAGAAATATAATTTGGCAATGGGATAAAATGGGATGGAATCCACGGCCCGATATGAGCAAATATTTATACGCCACTCCATACACTTTGATCTATTTAGCCCTTCTCAAACGCTATCCAATATTCATCCGGATATGACATTCTGCTAAATACAAATACTGGCTTTTAACTGTCTGTAAGCCATAAAATTGTTCTGATCAAAATTTAAGCCATTTGACATCTCAAATGTGCTAGACATTGACTTTCTCGACCAGTACCTAAAACTTCATTGTCTTTTCTTCCAGTGAGTAGTAAAATGATATCTTGACGCAGCACCATATGTGACACGATGATCGAATTTTGATAAAACTGACAATCTAAATGACATGGTTGAAAGTGCTTTCCTTTGACCTTGAACTTCCTATTCAAAATTCCTCAAATAATTTACTAACATATCCCAATGTCCGAAATAATGAAAAGTCAAAAAATGTTAAACTCGATCGCAAAATAACCATCTTGAAGGCACCGTTCTAAATTTAAGTTAATTGAATTAAAATGAGGTCTCACCAAAGTGATAAGCGTCTGAGTAACTTGTTTCAACTCGTTGCATTCCATTCAATGCAAAAGGAACATTGTCACCTCGATATGGTTGCTCCCGTATCGAGTTTCCTCCATAAAGCGGTGAAGAAGGCTCTTCGCTCTTGACGACAGGGCAAGTATTCCAAGGTTGATTAAATGAAAAATAATTTGAGGATCTAGTTTTGAGAGAAAGGCCGTTTATATCCACAGATTCCATCCTGTTTAGTAACCTATTCAAAACAATTCACTAAATAATAGAATTCTAATAGAAACCGAACCATACAGCACCGGACAAAAAACGCACCAATTTAAACTAAAGAAGTAAATTCTCTGTGGAAGTATTTTATATGAACTATAAAAGACCCCGCTTTGGGACCAATCAGCATTGAGCCCGTATCCTCTTATAATAATCATCCAATCACATTCCTCCTTGGCCTCACTTGGAATGCCTAAGAAAATGGACAGACGTTGATGGAGTGATTATTTAATCGGTTTTAACTACTGCGGTGTTTTAAGAGATAAAATTGGCTCTACCAAATTTTTACACATTGAGGGTATTCGTTTGGAAATAAGAGAAAGTGTTGAATGTCAATAATTTGAAGGGGGTTACTAAAATGTTCCTAGAATTTGGACTACGCAAAGTTATCACTGCCCAAACCATATTTTTTCTTCTCGCTTCTAGGACACCTGCTGATTTCGTGAATAGAATAATTTCCTAATCAATATTATTTCTCAGCCTAGGTGCTATATCATGAGTAATTACCTCAAAGTTGGGGGCCCTGAGTAGCATATACTCATACGGTAAAATTTCCGTAAACTAGCAGTTGATTTCAAAATATCGTGACTCCACTGTATGTCATATTCGACCACCTTCACAGTACTCACCTTACCCTTTTCTTTATCTTTGTTCTCGTCTCTTTTACATCTGCGAACCACTCTTCTGCCCCCCCCCCCCACCTCCACTTGTTGTGACTCTGACGTTCATCTCCTCTGAGGAACCCGAAGTCAACTAAAGTGGTAATAATGGCTATCATAGAGACTATGAGTTGATACAAAAAAAGTAACTCATCTTTCCAATCTTTGTACTTTCGAGAGGCTTATTTGTCATAGGTACTGTTTCTTAACTTACTGATCACTATTTTATGATGTACTTTTATAGGTGGGTTTCATTGTACAAATCTTGAGAATGTGTCAGTTTTTGTCGGCTTGTTATCAAGCCCAGACATAATTGACAAAACTGCTGTTACCATCTGAGTGGGCGGTTCTCTTTTAGGCGGCTAAAGCGAGTAGAATTTCGTAAATAAGCAAGGGTTTGTATTTTTAAACACGCAAATTACCTTTATAAAGGCAGTTTCCCTCCAAATTCTTTGCAAAATTCAGCACTAACTTTGCAGATTTTCAATAAATAATGAATTCTATTCTGTAGCCGTTATCTTTCGGAATCGTCTTAGAGGTTTTAATTTTAACTACTTAAAAAATTAAGTCGGTGTTAATTTATTTTAAACCCCCCCCCCCACCCCGACCACTCCAACTCATAATTAAATCTGTAAAAATTTTTAACTGAATTGAAGCCTGTAAAGTGAAAGTTGGGAAAATAAGATTAAAATGGTAAGAAATTTTCAAAAAAGTGTTGTTTTATTTTAATGAACTAAATTGTCTTCCTCTCATGTTGAATGATCTCTAGGGGAGGGGAGGGGGGGGCTTGTGTATGAGACGGTGGGGGGAGTTAAATTGATTGCTTACCAAAGTCTGAATTTAAAGTGACATTTAGTTACTAGGATGAGGATTTTACCATTTCACATCCGCTCAACTAAAATTGTAAGCTGACACATATTAATTTGTACTATTTTACCGCCTCAACTATTGGACAAAACATGCATTTTGTGCAAACCAGTGAACGTATGGAGAAATTCGCATTTTGAAAAAACAAATAAACTAATGGTGGAACAGGGTGCATTAATGTTGTCGTCGTTCTCGACGGTATTTTAGTTCCCTCAACTTTACCATTTTTATGGTCCAAGTTCCGTTGCTTCTCATATTTAGAAAAAAACAAACAATTTATTTGGCCCGTCAACGGTAATATTAATAATAATGGTAATGATACGCAGAGTTCCTCTTCTTGAAAGATACATATAGTCCATTAATTTTATAATTTCAAAGGTCAACTCTACCTTCTTGCCAATTCTATTCAGTGAAATTATGAAATCGAGTAAAATATTTTGAAGTTATCATCTACTGTCCTGGTTAAAATTATCAGTGTTACAAATCGGCCAATTAGGGGAGTGCAATGGTGTGACTTACCCGCCAAATGCGATATCATGACCCGCCCCAGAGAGATGATAAAACAAAAAATTTAGTTTAAGAAAATTCATTGATTTTGATTAATTTATATTTATTATATCAAATGGCAGGCGTTTTGATGGCTATCATTAGCTCTTTAGTTGACTTCAGGCTTCACGGAGTTGAAGGAATATCAGAGTGAATAAAGTCGAGAGGAGGGGGGGGGGGGAACACGAGTGTTTCAAAGATTCAAAAGAGGCAGACAGACACAAAGGCTGAGAAACGGTAAGATGAGTACTGTGATAGGGGTCAACAATGACATACAGTGGGGTGATGGTGATTTGAAGTCAGAAGTCAACTTCCGGTTAATAGACATTTTTGCTACATGAATATACGTTACCCAGGGTGCACCACGTGGAGGTATGACTATCGCACACCCCGATTTTGAATAATAGAAAACCCAGCAAATGATAGTGGACCAAGATATTACCAAAGACACGTGAGTATCGTCGATGTCTCAAAGAACCTTGCAGTTTCTCATTTTTTGTTTCGGGATGTAACACTATTTGTTACGAACCCCATTATTTACACCCTCGATTGGGGGAAGATATGGATGCTCAAGGCGTTCGGCGTTTATTTATAGGTGAATAATTCATCTAATTTCACTCTTTTATTTTCAATTTTTCCTCCAATGGTTAAGAAGGCAAAAGTATCTAAGTATTTTAAATTCATGCAATGGTTAACAGGCAGGTCAGATGGAAGGATATGGGAGGAGGGGGAGGGGTGGGGTGGGGTAGAATTTCATGCTAATAATCTTAATTACATTAGTAATTGGTAATTGTTTGAAAGTTATGCTCACTTTAAGTGGTTGAGCAAAAGTTCACTATTTTTTCACATTAAAATTAAAAAAGCGTTGGTAAACGTATGTTACTATGAACTGTCTCTATATAAAATATTCAGATTTCGCAGATTGTCTACAAATGCCTTTTCACAATTTTCACATTTCTGACGCTCTGTTTGAAGAGAAAATGATTGTCGCAGTAACGTAAGGTCTGTTTTATCAACAGCACAAGATTTTAAAAGTGTGTTCTCAACCGATCTAACGAGCTGCTTATGTGGAAAAAGCTAGACATATTCACAGTTGAAGCTGGATGTAAGAGATTTATCAACTCAAATCGGCCATAAAATTCGTAAAGGCCACAATACTGCACCTTGCAATAGGAGAGAAAGTCTTGTCTAACTAAGCTGCTATTTAGGCAATCAAAAAACTCTAATTTGAAGTTCAATTGAGTAGGATGGCCGATTTACTGCTGACTTCTGCCCCCTTTCCCTTGAATTTATAATATCGAAAATTTCAAATGGCAGGCGTTATGATAGGTATCATGGGGTGTGCAATAGACTTACCTCCGTGGTGCACCCTGGGCAATGTATATTTAGACTTACCTCCACGTGGTGCACCCTGGGCACCGTATACTCATACGGCAAAAAAGTCTATTAACCGGCAGTTGTTGCGATAGACTTACCTCCACGCGGTGCACCCTGGGCAACCCACTCATACGGCAAAAAAGTCTATTAACCGGCAGTTGACTTATCACTTCCATACGGCTACCTCCACGTGGTGCACCCTGGGTAACGTATACTTATACGGCAAAAAAGTCTATTGATCGGCAGTTGACTTCTGACTTCAAGCTACTATGACCCAACCATCTGTCATATTCGACTCCTAACACAGTACTCACCTTACCTTTTCTATGCCTTTGTGTCTGTCGATCTCTTTTACATATGTGAATCACTNTAGTTTGAAGTCAGAAGTCAACTGCCGAATAATAGACTTTTTTGCCGTATGAGTATACGTTGCCCAGGGTGCACCACGTGGAGGTAAGTCTATCACGCACCCCCGTATACTTCATCATAATTTGAAACAGTACGACCATTTGAATCTGCGCTGAGGTAAGAGGTGGGAGGTTGATTTATTATAAAAATAATTTTAAATTTTACTACTTGTCACATTTCCTCCTCATAGAATTCACTAACGCCTCGTGCAAAGGTCAAGTTGAAGCAAGTTGTAGTTTTCAACTTAATTAATAACCAATTATTTCATTCTCCTCTGAAAATTAATTTACCTGATAACATTTTTTTCGTCTAGAGCTTATCAAGGACACCTTTAAATGCATTAGTTAAAACTTCTAAATGGTTAGGGTATGGCCAGGGTATCTTCTGTCGCGACACCTATGTTGGCTAAGAGGAGTCATCCCTGTCGAGTTAATGTATTGTCCGAAAAACCATCCCATAGACATAATATTTATCTGAAGTTTGTAAAAAAAGGTGCGTTATTCGCTAAAACTAGGCATTTGGTTTACTGTATATGGGCCAAGTCTATAGGTTTACATTGAGACTAAATTAAATTTTGTGTTTTAGCTATCAAATTCAGTTTGTTATTTCAGTGACTGAATGGTCACCTTAAGCTCAGTGACTAAAGTGCTGTATTGTTTTAGAATTGTGTTGAATCTTATTTTAAATATCCAGACACAATTTTATGCTTATGTTACATTAGTTCGAAACATCGATAATTGGAGTTGGTTATACCAAACGAAATATTTTTGACCATATAAATGTGATTTGCACCATCATCTAATCTTTTGCAGTGTGATTTCTATGATTTCCACTGAAATCTGATAGTTCAAAAAAGAATTGCCTAGATATGGGAGATTCGTTCCAGTATGAACTGTGATATTTCAGCAACTTTCAAGCACTAACTGCGAGATCTCAGATAGCTAAGGGTACCAAGAATGAGGAGGTCTAAACAGCAATTGAAGTTATACGACCATTGGCATTAATAAAGTGTGTTTCTGCTTTAGTTTTTTTTCTTCCAAAATTTTGTTCAACTGCGTGAGATAAGTGCAAACGTTTCCATTATACCAACTCTTCTTTATAATC